GGGGCCTATTTCTGATCTCACGGCCCGGGGACGATCTCTCCTGCGGCTCGGGGAATTAACCCCGTGTAAATGTGTTCAAGATCAGCCACCTGGTGGGGATTTTACTTGACAGTAGCCTGTGAAGAAACAACATTTTGGCAAGAAAAAAAGAGAAAAGTCTCTCTGCCAGCCCTATTCCGACTTCCATTCATTTACGTCCCAGGGCTAACTTGTAGCCATCTCTGTAGGCAAATGCTTACAGAAATGCAAGGTCTTCAGCAGGACCGGACACGCTCCTTTCCTAGCGCTAGCTTTGCGGGACGGGAGCCCTTGCGCAGCCCGCAGGGTGCTAGCCGGCCGGGCGGGCGGCGGGGAGCTCGCTGTCCCCCCGGAGCCCCGCCGCCCCCCGCGTCCTCCGCTCAGCACCCCCGGCCTCTCCGAGAGGGGGAGCGAGCCGGGAGGAACACGTGCTCCGAAACTGAAGCGTTTCTCCGTTCCCAGCAAAACCCGCGGAAAACCCGCCCTTGCGCCCGGTGGGAGAGCGGTAAGGCAGAGCTCCCTGCCACGGCGAGAAGAGCTGATGGCAGACACGGAGAGGGGAGGGCAGAAGGAAGAGTCTGCGCTCCTCCGCCCCTTTGCACCGGTTTGTCTTGCAGTTATTCAAAATGATTGAGTTTTCTGAAGAAGGCCCTTTAGAGAGAAAACAAAACCAGCAACAACCTCTTCCGCCAAAACCAACATGAATATCAACCTGTCCGCTGGCAGGGCTGCGGAGCTTAGAGGCATTACAGTAAAATTTACGGCGTCCTTAACAACTCCCTATAAAAGCATTAAAATTCCCTTTAATTGAGAAAACATTGATTTTTAACTCTGGAAAGAACGAACCCGTAATTTAATTGTAAGCTTTCACCGACAGAGCAGCATCTCAGGGAGGCCACATTCCATCTTTAATAGAGCCACTTTATGAAGTGATAAAACCAAAGAAAACCTGACAAACAGAGACAGCTGAAATTGCGCAAGAAAAGTTATTTGACTTCCCTTTCCCTCTTCGCAGCTCCAAACTATCCCGCTCTTCCCTCCCCCTCCAACCTCCGCTCTCCGATCACAAAACACAACGGTAAAAGTAAAGGATTTAGGGTCTAGGGAAGAAGTAGTAGTTAATATTTTAAAAAAACGATTTGCTTTTACTAGGCGCCGGGTGATGCCAAGAGGTTTAAGGGAACATTTTCACAAAATGGTAGCCTCTTCTGAAAAGGAAACTAATCGGATAAAACTTCCTTGATTTCCCTTGTTCGTTACAAAAATAATTGCTAAAGGGAAGGAAAGGGAAATCCCACCCTCCCTTTCTATCTTATTTCTGTATCGGTTTTTGGTATTATAGAAGAGTAAAGAAGTTTTTGTTTGGTGGTTTTTCATTGATCAGTCACTCTGAGCTAATGTAATTATCCTCATCAATAGAAGGCTGCAGAGAGAATCATTATGTGGGTGACATTGATAAATGATCACCCAAGAGCGGCCTTTTCTCTTGGGCACCCCCACGTATGACCCTCCCACATACACAAGGTAGCCATAGAAACACCTTGAGATCCTCAAACACTGCTGCAAATGCGAGAATACAGAGAAAGCGAGAGAAATCCAACTTCACACACTTTCTGTCCCTGCTGAAGCCTCCTTCCCATTGCACGCAGCCACCGAGCCGGGCTCCGCTGTCCTGCCCCATGGGCGCGCAGCCCGGCCCCGGCCCCGCGCCCTCTCACGGCTCCATATCCAGCATTTGGGGGGAGGGGGTGTCTTATGGAGTTTGCTTCTGGGATTGTTAAATCTTTTTTTTTTTTTTTTTTCTTTCTTCTCTGGAATAGTTAAGCAATGATGTTGCACGCACCATACGTATTGTACGCGCATTGCGGAACCCCTGGTTTTAATGGCGCTCTTGGAGATGCACGCCAAAGATATTCACCCCATCCCAGTAATGCGACTCCTGGAAAATGGTTAAACACTAATTTTTAGCAGCGATTTTTTAGTCACAGGCCTATACAAGAAGATTCTGTATTTTTTACTAAGGCAAAGATTTTTTTTTTCCCTGCAGCCGCAGACCCTCCTGTTTTTGTAAGCGAATTCTAAAATATTGAGAGCAGTAATTGATTCATAATGATCCATAAATCGATGTAAGGAATGGGGTGAAAGTGTTTATTTATTTTTTTATTCCTAAAGCTGCAAGTAAAGTAGCTTTGACACCGTGTGGGGATGAAGGGGAGGAGTTGTTTAGCCGTGGGGTCATCCATCATCGGTGTCGCAGAGACTCTGCCCAGAGAAGCAACCTCCCTTCTGTCTGTCTCTTTCTCGCCACCAAAACTATTAATATTAAAATCTGCCTGCAAATCTTGCCCCCACCCGCCCCTCTTCCCATCCGGTCCCGCTCAGCCCGCAGCGGCCGGGCTGCCCAGCCTGGAGCTGGCTCGCTCCCGCGCAGCGCCAGCGGGGTTCATTTTTCCCCAAGTGCTGTTAGGAGAGTTAAAAGGCCGGCCCCGTTTCCTCTGCTGAACCCATGGATGTGGCAGGGGAGACATGTGGGGCGCAGCCATCCCTCCGCTCAGCGGAGCCTTCTCCTGCCGCTCCGCGCAGCGCGGGGACGCGGCCGTGCCTGGGGAAAAGATTCGGGCGTTTTCCGGGCTCCATGGGGTTTTTTTCCTAGCACAGGCATCAGGCGTATAGTGGGGCTGGTGGCGCCGCATCGACCCCCGCAAAGGCGCCGCCGGCAGACCCTCGCTCCCTCCGGGAAGCCTGGAGAGCCGCTGGAGCGATGAGCAAGCCCTACAAAGGAGAGCGGGTCCAACTCGTGCCCCCGCCGCACCCCTTCCCCTGCCCGGCCCGGCCCGGCCCCGGCCCCTCCCAGCCCCCCCGGCCCTCGCAAACCTGGTCTGTGGCAATTTTCTCTCCCTCGCTCCCTCTGCGGCTATGAGTGAAAGGTGGGGAGCGCCCGGCTCCCCCCGGCATCTCCTCTTCGGCCCTGCGGTGCCCGCTCGCCGCGACGGGCAGGGCTCGGGCGGCAGCGCTGCCGGAGGTGCGCTCCCCTCCTCTCTTCGCCTTAAAGGCAGCAAAATCTGGAAGAAAAATCCCTCATTTATGATGACTACAACTCCCAACGCAGACCCGCTCGGCGAAATAGAAATTTGGGATTATAAACATGTGTGTATGTAAACAAAAGGTGTTTCTTCTGTTACCCTTCGTTTCCCACAGCATAAGCAATTTTTATTCAGACTTGAGTATTTTCTTTAACACTATACCGCTGTCAAAACATTATTCCCGTTTTGTTTGCTTTTGACAGCTGAGCAGTTCTTAAAAATACCAAAATCGGAACCTTCCACGCTAAACAGAAAATCTCAGATGGAGAAATCTCTGCGCGATATTGTACCTTGGATTTCAGCAAGACATCTCACGGAAAGCACAGCCCAAAAGGGGGAGAAAAAAAGAAAGAAAATAAAAGACAACACAGCAATGCACATATTTAGTTCATTATAAAAACAAATAATCTACTATGGCTGCATTCCTTCCTGTCTTCCTACCAATGTGATTTCTGACATTTCTCTTCAAATTCTAGAGAAAAAATCTGCAAGGAAATAAAGAACTGTTAAAATAAAATTGAAATCCTCCTCTTTAAAGTGCTAACACAAATAATCTTGCCTTCTTAAATTCTGCATCCACAAAAATCAGAGAATTTGGAAATGGGCACCCAGGCTGTGGTCTTCTTATGCGACTGAAGGGTCGGTGTGATTTTAACCAGGACAGAGAGCATCAAAGCCGAGCAGGGAATTATAATCTAAATTTCATACGAAAGCCTTATAAGAGACGCCCACAAAGCAGGACCCGATTGCTAAATAAATCCACACACCCATTCTACTGGCATCCTCCCTTCTGTCGCCAGCAGCGTGGGTCCATTTACTCAGAAATTAAACATTAACTCCAAGGCTGAGCCTCTTTCCACATTCCAAGGGTAAAAGTTGTCACTCAAAGTTTTTAAAAACACCATGGCCAATTGGAACGATGAGAATGAAGGAAGAGAAGGGTTACAAATTTACAGGTGTTGAAGTTGGACATTTTTGTTTCCTAGAAAGTTTAGTTAATTACAAGTCCTTTCCCACACCCCTCCTCTCAGGAATAAAGGCAGAACTTTCCCCTGCTCTTTTGGCCCCATCCGGCTCTTGCTGATTTAACAGTGTCACTGAGGAAGGTGAGAGGCTGCTTTTTCTAAACTGATCATTGCTCTTCCTAGTTCAAACTCTGCTTTAGCTTCTTCAAAATGCCAGATGCTTTGGTTTAAGAAAAAACAAACCTTTAACCATGATTCTACTCCAGCTATTTGTATACAAAATGTCAAATCAACATTTTTCTGTCATTAGCTGATGGTTTGTTGTTTTGGTTTGGTTAGTTTGTTTTGTGGGTTTTTTTTTTTTTTTTTTTCCCCTGAAAACAGCTGAAGACAGCAAAAGGACTAAGACCGTCTCAAAAGCCAGCTTATGCAATTCTCACATATGAAAAATTCCCACTGGAGTCAAAGCTTCTTTTCTCCTCCTAAAACTTCTAAACCTACTCCTGCAATAAAGCCATTCTTTTCCTCTGAGCTAAATACCTGGAGGCAAGGTCTGCTGTGGCTATGGACGTGCACACGCACACATGTACACGCATGGCATTAGCCATCTCATGCCTGGGCCTCTGCCACTCAAGCTCAGCTCCTCTGTTATTAGCAGGTAGTACAAGTATTAGACACACCTCTGAAATGCAAGCTGGTGAAACAATATTTCAAAATTTCTTTAATCTGGCAAAAATCTAGTATCAGTAATCAGCAGAAATATATAACTTCAGATGGTGTTTCATTCAATTATTCTATTAATGCAATGACAAGCTTGTTTCTGATTTTTCAAGCATTTCTTCTCAATGCTGATAAGGAATGTGTTTGAGACATCTCTCATGATAACCTCAGACTCTCCTAAACATGATTAAAAACACAAAAGCCTAGCAAAAAATCAAAAATGAAATATTTATTACCGCATTTTGTGACTTAACACCTTTTTTTTCCTTTTTAAAACATAACGTCACAGTCCTCATACAAGTATTTTAATGTAAATTTTGACAAAGCTTAAAGGTAACAGCATTTTCTTCTAGTGAGGAACACGTGCTGAGAAAGGAAGAATTCATGGACATACAATACCAATTCCACAGCAGATCTGATACTAGCAAAAACATTCTTTTTTTTTTTCAATTGAGGTAAACACATAGAATATCTAACATGAAACAATTAATAGACCGAACTCTGTACGAAGTTTGTTACAGTATTCTCTTGCTTTTTTTTCCCAAGCTTTGAGTTCATGATAAAGTCCTAGGTTTGGTGCAAAGACCGTTAGTAACTTCTTTCATTGAGGAAAGCTGCCCAACTTTTAGTTTTGTTTTGTCCAAAGCCAAGGCTCAGAACTACTGGAAGAAGCTTCTGCTCTGTCTGTTCTGTCTTTTAAATCTTCACCTGCAAGCTCTTTGAAGAAGAGTCCAAAAAAAAAAAATAGATTGGGAGGAATGGGGAGAGACTTAATGAAGCACAAACTATAAAGATCTGTTTGAAACTAAAGGACACATTTTATGAAGGAACAAAATGAGGGAATGGCAAGGCCTTCTTGGAACAGTCTTCTGAGTGATGAGAGACCCAGCAAGACTTTTCATCTTCATCTCCAGGGTAGTTCTTTTCTCACTGGCCAAAACAGGTCTTTCATGGATAGTGACTTCACTGCTGAACCAAAACAGTCATTCTTTTGGGAACAACACACATAGTGTGGAAAACAAGGATTCTTTTTTCTTCTAAAACTATTTGAGGCAACGTAACGGAGTGATCAACAGAAATGTACAAGTTAACTTAGTTCCTATGTTTATACTACAGTAGTTATAACTCTTGGAGTCTTTTTTTTTTCCAGAGGATCTGTACATGGACATATTCATTTCAGTGAGCCCATGATTTCACATTTGTGTTCTTGTTTCATTGGTCCTCTGTTGTTGATGAAAAATGACAAAAAGTAAAAAATAATCACAGCTGTCTGGAATTTCGTATTAAGTGTCAACATCTGGTCAAAGTTCAAAAGTCTTAAAATAGTTTCTGTTTGTTTTTGTTTTGTTTTTCCCTTGAGTTCCCTTATTCTATTGGGCATGAATGTCCATAACCTGTCCACCAACACTGGGGTCTACAGAATTTAACATTGTGGGGCTCTGTGCTGACATGGTCATTCCAGGGTGGGTAGGGGGTCCTCCGTGCATCATCATGGCTGGGTGGTGGGGGTGACTTGGCAAATATGAATGGATTGGGTGTCCATGTCTTAATTGAGTTGGGTGTGGGGTCATCTGGGGAGGAGTGTAACTTGGCTGTGCCATACTCATACCCATAGGACCACCCTGAGATACGTAGTCCCCTGGCATGCCTTGCAAACCTAGACAAAAAAGGGGAAAAAAAAAGCAGGTCAGATTCCTCAACGTTTTTACAATTTACCCATCTAAAATGAACAGGAAAAACAACAGACACTGCAAATCTTCCATCTAAAATTAGCTGCAGATTCTTGCCAATGTTTGCAGACATTCAAATTCTAG